AAATGATCTCTCCGTTCTCGGCTTTGAAAAGGCTAGCATCGTAGAAGCATCACAAATCTTCCCTTGCTGATTCCTATGTCTGTTCACTATTTACTCCACCTAGCTGACCCTTCTTCCGGGTAGCATCACGTGAACAACTCCCTCTTGCGCACTAATCGATTATCGATCGCTTTCGGATTAGTGGTTCATAAGTTCACGAAATTCAATCAGTCATTCTTATTTTTGCAACTGTATTAGTTCCATGAGCTTTGACACCGTGACACTGCACAGGAATAGGAAAACCATGGGCCAATAGGAGTGCATACGCGCAGTGGGCGGTCCCTCGAATCTGATTGGTCCTTCGATATTCATTATGTGATTTGTCTTATTTTTTAGAGATTTCACCGGTTAATTTCGCCGGTTCAACGACACTTTCAAAATTGCTTTAATTTTGCATCACACGACTCTTTAGTTAATGTTTTCATTCCCTGTCTTTCTCTTGAATCTAGAGCTTTAAAGTCCTTTCTTTCTGGTTTAAAACCCTAGTTTCGTGCTTCGAGGGAGTGGCTCATCTTCAGCAAACCAATCCATCTGTTCTAAATCCACAACATAGTCGACCGAATTCCTATGGAAGTTCTTCGGGGTAGTGTTCGCCAACGATGTTTTCAATGTCATCGCATTACCTCAGCCCCGCTGATAACCTTTACAACGTAACTGGGTCATCAGTGTGCTAGTTTGAACCGGGCGCCCACGTAAAGGTCATATATCCAAATCATGAGACGGGCTCATCGATCTAATCATTGCTCATCAGTATCCACACTTTACTCTCTGAGCTATTATTGTCGCTTGTAAACGCGTTAAGAGTTCTTGCAAATGGATATAATTGTAGTGAATCCTTTCCAGGGAGGGCTACGATGGTCCCGCGGAGTCAGACGGGCTGGCTGAGCCCGCTGGCTTTTTGTCTGCTAATCGCAGGCACCGAGACCATATCCAAGAATTTCGTCAATAGTTCTATGCCCGAAATGCGGCCAACCTTCGTCGTCAATTTCGACATGGCCACCGTCATCTGCCAACACAGGTTCTTGAAACTTCCTATTGGCTTCTCTACCTTAACTTTCAAGGAAAAATTACGTTAAATTTGAAATTTCACCAGCAAAGTGTTCCTAATTTGTGATAGTTGTCCATTTTTCAGTGCCGAATCGACTGACCTGCACTTACACGAGATCAGCGTACTTTGTGACGGTAAAAGTGACTGCTACCAGAACCCGGCGATGCATGATGAAAGCTTTCCTTACTGTGGTATGTTCCATTTCCTGTTGAGTCTCAAGGGCGTTATTTGGTAACCCTGGACTGTTCAAATGCGTTTCTATGCACTATTTGTCAGAACCATATGACCCTGAATCAAGAGTTTTGGCCGAGAATGCCAGCCGTGTATGCGTGTGTTTGTAGAATGGCATATCTGACCCAGATATCGTAATTGGTCGCGCGTGAGCGTAGACGATCGGTCGTCTCGAGACTCATCAGTAATTGTAAGGAGTCTGCGGTAGACGAGACGAGACTACCAGTAGGTAGTAAAGGTGGGTAGGAAATTCGGAGTCCTAATTGCTCCCGCGTCCCCTTCCGTGGTTTTTTTTTTCTAGAAATGCCAGGTCAAGTGGCTTCGATTAGGGCCAGCCGAAGTGCATTGAGCCGCTGTAATACCTAACGAATTCATTTTCTCACAAGAAATCGATCTTGGGAATTCCAAATCAATAGGTCTACTGCTCGGCTAATTTTTCGAAACCATAGAGATATCTCGTCCGGGTTAATAGGGGTAGATGACCATAATGAACAGCTAGCCGATTGTCGGGCCGTAACCTTATAAGGGTAACCAAGCCAAATGAACTGTATTGATACCGAATCGTCATTCTATAGAAGCCATCATCTATTTTTTTGATTTCTCTTGGGCTGTTCTATAAATGCAGAATTCCGAGTACCAATGAGATAGCGAATGCATGGCGCACTCCGTAAGGACCAGAAGACGCCCTGAATACTCCTTTTTGACAACGCCAACTGACCAATTGGGCAGTGTCAGAGGACTACTCTAAAGCCGGGTAGCAACCTCATAT